CCAGTTTTATTATAATTTTTCAGATACAGCTTCAATTAATATAACCCTTTTTCTGAATAACATACAAAAATGCACATTTTATAATATATATATATATATATATATAGCATTTTAACTTCGTATATAAAATAAGTTAACTTTATAACTTTGTTTTACAATACTTACATTTTCTCAGTAAAATAATCCTTATACACAGTATGAATATTTGTCAATGTCTGGAATGTTCAGTTTTCAACGTCTAGGACCTCTGAAGGATGGTCCTGGGATTTTATCTCGGAGGAAAGTATATTTCTCCTCAAGTTGGCGGTCTCGACACCGCGGCAAATGGCGCTTTGTGACGAGAGTGAGCGAGAGTTCCTCCATTCTTCTGGATGTTCGACGCTATGAGTGAGAATATGACGGCGAAGGTCGCAGTTTCGACGGAATACCTTGCTGCAGGAGCCACAGTGGTAGGGCCTGAAGTCGGTATGGGTCAAGAGGTGAGTTTTTAGGTTGCTTCTCTGGTTGAAGGTGCGCCCACAGGTGGGGCACTCGTGAGGAGAATTATCTAGATGGAGGACTCTGTGAACCGCTAACGTCCGAGCCTGACAGAAACCTTTCCCACACTCTGTGCACTTGAACGGTTTCTCTTTGGAGTGAATGTACCTGGAATTGGACAAGTAATCACTTCATTAGCTTCATTTCGTAATTAGTTCACAATCTTAACCCTAAATTTACTGATTTGGCTCTCAATCGGCTTTTCAAACTCTTTACAGAGTCCCTAATAACCACCTTGTGGGTCCATGACTTGGGTGGTTACAGAGTCCCTAACAACCACCTTGTGGGTCCATGACTTGGGTGGTTACAGAGTCCTTAATAACCACCTTGTCGATCCATGACTTTGGTAGTTACAGAGTCCCTAATAACCACCTTGTGGGTCCATGACTTGGGTGGTTACAGAATCCTAATAACCACCTTGTGGGTCCATGACTTTGGTGGTTACAAAGTCCTTAATAACCACCTTGTCGATCCATGACTTGGGTGGTTACAGAGTCCCTAATAACCACCTTGTAGGTCCATGACTTTGGTGGTTACAGAGTCCCTAATAACCACCTTGTGGGTCCATGACTTGGGTGGTTACAGAGTTCCTAATAACCACTTTGTGGGTCCATGACTTTGGTAGTTACAGAATCCCTAACAACCACCTTGTGGGTCCATGACTTGGGTGGTTACAGAATCCCTAATAATCACATTGTGGGTCCAAGACTTTCGTGGTTACAGAATCCCTCATAATCACCTTGTGGGTCCATGACTTTGGTGGTTACAGAGTCCCTTATAACCACCTTGTGGGTCCATGACTTTGGTGGTTACAGAGTCCCTCATAACCACCTTGTGGGTCCATGACTTTGGTCCCTAATAGAGTCCCTAACAACCACCTTGTGGGTCCATGACTTGGGTGGTTACAGAGTCCCTCATAACCACCTTGTGGGTCCATGACTTTGGTCCCTAATAGAGTCCCTAACAACCACCTTGTGGGTCCATGACTTTGATGGTTACAGAGTCCCTCATAACCACCTTGTGGTCAATGACTTTGGTCGCTAATAGAATCCCTAATAGCGTACGAGTCACACAATACATTTAAATTAAAATGTCATATTTAATTCTACTAATTACTACCCTAGTTCTCTATATGTATTACATTTAAGAAATGGGTGGTCAATGCTATTCATACTGAATGTTGTAAAGAGCACAAACTTAATTGTTCAATATTATCAGTACGATCGCTGTGAATAAGAACCGGTTATTTGAGAATTAAAACAAGTCGATAACCCACACGATACGTTTTCGCAGGGGATATTGGCACACGACTATAATCAATACAGTTTTTGGAAGTGGCGGATATATTAAAAGTTGCAAGACTCAGAAGCACAGCGGTATGTCTGTGGACTTACAATGCTAGAATCCGGTTTTCGATAGCCCTGGTGGGCAGAGCACATATAGCCCATTGTGTAGCTTTGTGCTTAACTTCAAACAAACAAAAAAGTCAAATTGATAAACTGAATTAAGCTGTGTTTCACGTACATATTCATCAACATATAATATGATTGTGTTGTTCCCCTCAAAATAGGATAGAAGACCTTAATAATTTTCTGACCCCATTTATAGGTGCAGATGAGCTGGCTTGTACTGCTAGTACAAGTAGATGTGGGACTGCTAGTACAAGTAGTTGTGGGACTGCTAGTACAAGTAGTTGTGGGACTGCTAGTACAAGTAGTTGTGGGACTGCTAGTACA